TGGGGCGTGGGGGAGACTAGTCGTATGCCAGTGTTGGTAGTACTAGTATAAATAAAATTAGATTGAATTTTAAGTACTTTTCCTCCTTCTTTCACCCCATGTCGGATGTGAAGGTTCGGTGTCAATCCAATCAGAGTCCTTGATTTCTATCTCACGATAGGCTTCAAGTCTTTAACTTTGAACACCTTTCGAGGGCTTCGTTGTTATACCTCCTACTACGTTTGCTGAAAGTCTTTTCTTCCTTCTACCTATCCTTTCGGTTGTTCACTATAGTCACTACCTTACTGTCACAGTAGCTAAGCGAGCCTCCGACCCGTCTGCCACGTCCGCTCTCCATTCATCACTGGTTCTGTCTCATACCGTTGAGAAGAACTTCACCCCAGAGGCCGAAGTCTCTCACCTTCGGCATCACATCTGCCTCCTTTCAAGGCGACTTCATCACACTGGGAAGGAGATATCTGCCTTATTGGCTGCCCTCGAGAATGAACATCCTATTAATCACAATTATCTCACAATGTTGGCGGCTGAAACTCCTATGGTTATCCTCTCTTCGCCTGTCCCCTCGGCCACTTCGGTTACTACAGTGGTCTCAGTTGAGTGGGAGTGGGTTAGACCCTAAGACATCTCAGGGTCTAGCAGAGGAGCTCCCTTGGGGGAATGTTGCACTGCCAGTTATCCCTGCCCCTCCTGCAGCTTTGATTGTAGATGGTGGTGTAGGTAGACTTGTTCCTAATTCATTAGGGCTGGTTGAGATGCTTGCTCATGGTTTGAATAGGGTGGGTCCTAGTATGGTACCACCAGCTGTGGTGGTATTACCCCCTTTGGCGGGGCAGGTGCCTGAGTCCTCTGTGGCTAAGCTTGTGGCTGGTCAGAGTAATACCTCTAGTGGCATCCCTCCTGTAGCAGTGTGTAGTGATGAGAGTAGACCAGTCACTCCTGTTACTAGACCTACACATGGGGGTGGGAAGGGGAAGAAAAACAAGAAGCGCCAAGTCAAACAAGACCAGACCTCACCTGTGCCACTTGTCCCCAACTCGGAAGGGTCATTGCCTTTGCTGGTTCGCCACCTGCGGAGCGAGCTGAGGAGTTGGAGGATGAGCTGAATACTTGGGTATGTTCAGTCAAGTGCCGGCTGCTTGGGGACTGTCTCGATCTGGCAGCTTCCATTGAGGTTTTTAGGCTGCACTGCTAGTGTAGTACACTCCAGATTCTCTATACCCGTTCGTACCTGCTTGGCTAGGAAGCATTTGTCCTGTAAGTTGGCTTTCCCAGGGGTCTACATACTTGGACTTTTGGGTGTTTCTTTTATTTGGGAATGGGGACGGGTGCTGGGACAGTCGGCGGGGTGTCCCGGGATCATTAAGTGGGGACGCTCGGGTCAGCTTCTACTGTGGAGAAGGTTTTTTATGGGGTCACATTCAGGTGATGGTAGTGGAATTTTTGTGTTTTCTACAGGTAGCTTGGCAGGCAGGTAGGCTAGGCTGAGGTGAACTTTTCTTTACCAATCATGGCTTTGTATTTAGTGTTTATGTTGGGGCATAGTGTGGGCATGTTTGAGGTACAGGGTTGGAGGTTTAGTTAGTTTGTAGTTAGTGGTATCCAGGACGCGACAATATGGGAGCCCGGCCCTGGGGCTCGTCAGATGCCAGTATTAGCAGTATGAGTTTAAAATAAAATTAGATTGAATTCTAAGCACTTTTTCTACTTATTTCTTTAACAAATATAAAACAACTTTACAATCATTATCTTTATTGCAACGTTATTGTTACGCCAAGGAAAGTTCTTCATGAAGAAGAGTTAGAGAAAGCTTACAATAGGTGTTACCAATAGAACACAAAGGTCATGTACTATCAGTAATGTAGGCAGAGGCCTAGTGCTATCGTAAGATGAAGGAAAGAAACAGAAGAAGAAGAGAAGTATCATTTCCCATTGCCAAGAACTAACTATCCTAGGTGGGATCGTTACATTACAAAGCGTCACCTAGTATGATACTAAACGATTCAAGACAGCATGCTTCAACCTAAATAGGGAAGGAGATATCGACATCGACGATCAAAACCTTAACTTAGGAGGATTTAGCAACACCCTAGATCATGTTTCAGCAGTACGCTCAAGGGCAACAAGCCCAGTAACCCCAGAGAAGGGATCACCAGTCGATAGCTCTCCTGCACGAAACCTACGACCCGAGAGAATGTTGAGATCAGCAGTACCTGGGCCACAGGCCCCGGCCACTCCAGAACTAGGCACTAGTATACTTGGAAAGACTGAGAATCAGTTTCAGGCATTTCTGCCAGCAACACGAAACACAGGACAAGGAAATATCTACTGACCGAAATCAAAAGAACTGAACACATACCAAGGAGCCGAAGATAAGCTACGAATATTCCCGGCACAATGTGAAGGGTATTTTGCCATCAAGGGATATGGAGAACACCAAGATGAGATCAAGATTCCCTAACCGGAATCTCTACAAAGGGGACTCACGGGATAATGGATCATGCCCTTCCATGATGGAAAAAAGCAGAGGAAGTAGGTCACATACGAGGAATTCAAGGTGACACTCTTCGAACAATTCAGGGATCCCAACACTAAGGAGACAGCACGACGAAAGCTGGAGAAACTCCAACAAGGAAAACTGACCATCTTGGCAAACTGGAACGAATGCAGACGATTGGAATACAAGGCAGTGTTTGATGATGCTACTCTCTACATCATCTGCCTAAGAAACTGCAGTGAGAGATTCTGAGAAGCATCGGGAATCTCAGTCACACACTACATCACAGCAGAATGATTTGTAAGATGTGTGACCAATAAGGAGAGCAAACTAAATCAGATTCGAAACAACTGAGAAAATACCATAGCACACAGGGTGGCCCAATCATCCAGAAACGTGAATGGAACAGTCAAACCACAGGCAGCTCGAGGTGAAAGCAGAGCATTACCATCAGGAGAGCCAATGGAGTTGGACAAATCAAGGGCAGGACCTGCTCTGAACCTGTCGAAGGAAGAATACACTAGAAGAATGAATCGGAAACTCTACTTCAGGTACGGAAAAGCAGAACATCTAATACGAGAATGCAGAAGCCAACCTGACATTGGATACCAAGAGACAAGGGCTGTTGGAAACAATCACTTCAGAACCTAAAAGAGGAGCAATATTTGCGAAATGATCACCAAAGATGAACAGGTAAAAGACAATAAGGGTCCCCAGTAAACGCTAGTCTGGAAGACACAAGATGTGGACCTGGAAAACCCATTAAATTAGTGAACTACTATGCAGCACTACACATGCAAAGAGGTGAAGAAGACGGAGATTATGTGATGATCAAAATGAAGATATACAACAAAAAATGCGAAGAAGCAATGATATATGCAATGCTCAACTCAGGAGCGACTGAAGATTTCATCGGCAAGGAAATCTGCAACAAATACGGCCTCCACACCAAGAAAGCGAAGAAAGTGAGACTAGTCTACCTAGCAGATGGAAAGCCAAGTACCCTATTCCCTATAACCCATACGGTAGAAGTACCTACAGACATTGACAACCATAGAGAAATGGCAACCTTCCTGGAAGTAAATCTCAAAAACTATGAGATAGTTCTAGGGATGCCATGATTATGAAGACAAAACCCAACAATGGACTAGAATGAGAATAAGATAACCTTCACAGCGAACTATGTACGACACAATGTCTCAATAGTTCGCCTGTGGTCTATTCGACACTGGTATGAGAAGTGGAAGATAAAACTTTGTATGCAAAGTTCGCAGAGATGCGGCAAGATAAGAGAGTCCGGATATAAAAACTGGACCAAGGGGCAAAAGTGCCTACCAAGGGTTCCAAAGGAGCAGCAGGACGTGACTTGTATGCCAATGAAGGAGTCAAGATACCTGCTAACGGACAGGTAATGATAGTAACAGGAATAGCCATCGGACTACCAGAAGGCACCTATGGTCGGATTGTATACCGAAGTGGTCTAACAGTCAAACATCAACTAATGACCATGGCGGGTGTAATCTACGCCGACTATACAGGTGAAATCAAAGTGGTTTTAGCCAACCTGGCTCAAGAGGACTACTAAGTCCAGAAAGGCGATCGAATCGCACAGTTGATTATCAAAAAAATCAACAAAGAGGATCCATAAAAAATAGATCAACTGGAAGAAACCACCAGGGGAGACGAGGGATTTGGATGCAAAGACGAAAACCAGAGTGACACAACAAAAGGAATTGAGATCAAGGAGATCACGGCACAAGCCTTCAGAGGGTACAATGGAAGAGGAGATACAACCGGAATTCTAAAATGGAGATATGAAGACGAAAAAGCGGTCCTAGCAAAACTTAACATCAGCATGGAAATAGCAATCCAAGGCAAGAAATACCAAAGCAAAAAAGAATGGAAAGAATTGATTTCAAAAGAATATCATCAGTTCACGAATCTATTCCATAAAGAGGAAGCTACGGGGCTACCACCCTGAAGACCCGGAATCGACCACAAAATTCAGCTGGAGAAAGATGAGAAATCGGGAAAAACAAAAGAGATTTCCTACCAGATGTTATACCCACTAGGAGAAGCGGAGCTCATAGAACTTAGAAAGTACATCGAGTAAAACCTAAAGCGAGGATGGATCAGAGACTCCTTTGTATCAGGAGGATCTCCAATACTATTCGTCAAAAAGAATGATGGAAAAATGAGACTCTGTGTAGACTACAGAGCCCTCAATTCGGTTACCACAAAAGATTGATATCCACTACCCATAATCAGAGAGTCACTGGATAGACTACAGTCAGCAAAATACTTCACCATACTCGACATCAAGGATGCATACCACAATAAACGCATCAAAGCAGTAGACGAATGGAAGACTACATTCACCTCAAGATAAGGGATGTTCGAATACTTGGTTATACCTTTCAGGCTAACCAATCCACCAGCTTCATTCAAAGATGGATTAACATAGTACTCAATAAGTACCTCAACATATGTTGTATCGTATACTTAGATGATGTTCTCATCTACTCGGAAAACCTGTAACCACATCAGAAGAATGTCAGCAATATTATGTCCGCAATACAAGGATCAGGAATGATGTAACCGGTATGGGTACTTGGTTATTGGTTTTGTTTTATGTTTTGTTTTAAGTATCGCTTTGATACTTGGTTTGTTTTAATTATCATTTGATACTTGGTTTTGTTTTATGTTTTGTTTTAAGTATCGCTTTGATACTTGGTTTTGTTTTATGTTTTGTTATAAGTATCGCTTTGATACTTAATTAGTTGCACCAAAGTGTATCGATTGATACCTTTGATTAGTTTCGTTCATGCTAAACATGAACAGATTTGTGTATTTAAAGACCGCCTGTTTCTACGACAGAAAAGGCAGACTTTGACAGATAATATTTTAATATACTTGGTTGAACAGTTACTTCTTTGTTCCTCAGTACACCCTCAAAGTTTCCTTTAGTTTTCAGCTCTCACCTCCTCTCCAGAAGAGTAGGCCACCTGCCAAACTATCGTATCCTTTACCAATAATGTGATTAGCACCTTGCGAACACGTTACAAATGAAGATCAAACCAACAAAATGCGAATTCCATAAAGAAGAAACCAAAGACCTCGGATTTATCATCAATCGAAGTGGGGTCAAGGTCAACTGAGTCAAAACAGCAGCAATATGGGATTGGGCCAAACCAAACAATAAAACAGATGTTCAATGCTTTATAGGATTCTGTAACTTTTATCGAAGGTTCATAGAAGGGTTTAGCAGACTTGCAAAACCACTCTATAACCTAACCAAGAATGACAAGAAATGGGAAAAGAGAAAAACAGAACAAAAAGGATACGAGGCCATCTGGACACATCTGACATCAGCACCAATACTGGTACACTGCGACCCAAACTGAAGGACAATGATTGAAATGGATGCCTCAAAATATGTGTGTTTAGGCATATTATCGCAATAATTCAAAGATGGAAAATGGAGGTCAGTGTCTTATCGATCCAAGATAATAACCCCTGCAGAGTGCAACTATGACATTACAAAGAACTATTGGCAATAGTTCCAGCATTAAAGGAATGGAGAAAATACATTCTAAACAATGACCATCCAGTCCGAGTTCTAACCCACCACAAGAATCTGGTCCCATTCATCACTACGAAGGAAATGAACGACCGCCAGATAAGGTGCATGGAACATCTCAGCAAATACAACTTCAAAATTGAATACCCACCAAGCAACGAAAGTGGGAAGCCAGATGCTCTCACAAGGATTGCAAGCGACAAGCTACAAACAAAAGAAGATGAAAGGATCAAACAAAAAACACGAACGTTATTACCAAGAACCTACTCCGAGGCAATGGCAATCCAATTCATATCAACAGAAGAAAAGGAAATTGAGAAGTCAAATGAAGGAGACAAGACAATTCAGGCAATAGGAAAAGTATTGGAGGAAGGAAAAAAGGAGATGAAAGGAATCACTCGGGATTTATGCCAATGGAAGAATGGAAACATATTGTATGAAGGAAAATAATAGATTCCGGAAGAAGAGAAGATAAGAACTGACATCATACAACAACACCAGGATATCTGAATAGCAGGACCCGGAGGAACTGCGAAAACTACAGAATTCATCACGAGGTCATTCGATTCACCAGGACTATGCGAAGATGTCAAAAGATATACCAAGAATTGCAAAATATGCCAAAGGACAAAAACAGCTAAACACGTACTATATGGATTACAGAAATCGAATGAAGTTCCCGAACAACTATAGGAAACAATTACTATGGATTTCATCACGGACCTACCGTTATCAGAAAAATGCGATAATATCCTGGTCATGGTGGATTGTCTGACCAAAATGAGTCATTTCATTCCAGTCACAAAATATATGGACACGAAGGATTTTATACAAATATTCTTCAGAGAAGTCTTCCGGCTTCACAGCCTTCCAGAATATTATCACCGATTAAGCCACGTTATTCAGATCAGGACTGTGGAAAAAAGTAATAGGAGCAATGGGAATACAAAACAGACTAAGCACAGCATTTTACCCACAAATGGATGGACAGACAGAACAGATAAACGCAACACTCAAACAATGTTTATGGGCCTATGTTAACTACCAACAAGATGATTAGTACAAACTGCTATCAATAGCCGAATTCACATACAATAATGGAAAACAAGAGACAATTGGGACGACACCCTTCTTCGCACATTACGGATAACATCCACAAAGTCTGGCTATATATGATACAATTAAGGGTGTGATACCAGATCAAACAAATATGGGATAATTATACGAGACATTACAATACGAAATGAGTCCAGCACAGCAACATCAAAAAGAACAATACGATAAACACCGAAGGCCAGATCCAAACATACAAGCAGGAGATATGGTATCGCTAATACCACGCAATATCCATACAACACCACCATCAAAGAAATTGGACTACAAGAAAATTGGGCCATTCAAGATACTAGAAAGAGTGGACAACCGAGCTTGTAAACTTGACCTTCCCCCCTCAATGTGAATACAAAACACATTCCACATCTCACTCCTCGAAATACACAATGATAACAAGTTTCCCTTACAAACAATTATTCCTCCTCCTCTGATCGAACTAGACAGAGAATTACAATACGGACTCGACGAAATAGTCAATTGGTAGTTCTTCTACGGTCACCTCCAATACCGAGCCAAGTGGACAGGATCTTCACCCGAATACGATAAAACTTAGTACTACGTACAAAACATGAAACATGTACAAGATGCCCTGTAACGTGTTCGCAAGGTGCTAATCACGTTATCGGTAATAGATACGATAGTTGGCAGGTGGCCTGCTCTTCTAGAGAGAAGGCGAGAGCTGAGAACTAAAGGAGGCTTCGAGGGTGTACTGGGGAACAAAGAAGTAACAGTTCAACCAAGTATATTGAAATACTGTCTGTCGAAGTCTGCCTTTTCCATCGTAGAAACAGGCGGTCTTTTAAATACACAAATCTGTTCATGTCTAGCATGAACGAAACTAATCAAAGGGATCAATCGATACACTTTGGTAAAACTCTTTAAGTATCAAAGCGATACTTAAAACAAAACATAAAACAAAACCAAGTATCTTACGATACTTAAAACAAACCAAGTATCAAACAATACTTAAAACAAAACATAAAACAAAACCAAGTATCAAACAATACTTAAAACAAAACATAAAACAAAACCAAGTATCAAACGATACTTAAAACAAACCAAGTATCAAACGATACTTAAAATAAAACATAAAACAAAACCAAGTATCAAACGATACTTAAAACAAACCAAGTATCAAACGATACTTAAAACAAAACATAAAACAAAACCAAGTATCAAACGATACTTAAAACAAACCAAGTATCACACGATACTTAAAACAAAACATAAAACAAAACCAAGTATCAAACGATACTTAAAACAAACCAAGTATCAAACGATACTTAAAACAAAACATAAAACAAAACCAAGTATCAAACGATACTTAAAACAAACCAAGTATCAAACGATACTTAAAAACAAAACATAAAACAAAACCAAGTATCAAATGATACTTAAAACAAACCAAGTATCAAACGATACTTAAAACAAAACATAAAACAAAACCAAGTATCAAACGATACTTAAAACAAACCAAGTATCAAACAATACTTAAAACAAAACATAAAACAAAACCAATAACCGAGTACCTGCACCGGTTACATTCCCCAAAACAAAACAACTGTTCAAACCAACAAAACCTAATAGTCATCAAAAGCGGATTCTGAGAAACTAAAGGCTTCAGTTTCCGCTAAAAACTCTTCATCATAAGTGTCACACCAGGGACAAGTTGAAATCCTAAGAAAACACTTAAACTCGAAGAAATCTAAATCACAGTAGTCACGAATACCAGATTCGTGCTGTACATCAACCCAAGCATGATCACAATCAGGACAGTAGTCAATCCAGAGGATTTCGAAGTAGTCTTCAAGTTGGATAGCATCGCAGTTCAACAACAGTCCAACAACCTGTTGTCGCTGCCTCACATTGAGCTCCACATAGTTTGACATCGTTATGGTATTCGGATGGTGATTGGTGACTAGATAAGGTTGTCGAGGGCCTGCTCCATAGCTTGGTTTTCCTCATCGCTACTTTCGAACTCCGACTCACAGTATGGTGCCCAAAACCCATCTCTAGCTTCGAGTTCTGCGTGCCATCGCTCAGTTTCTGGCATTGTAGGTGTCCAACACATGGTGATATAATTGATTGTTGGGGGGAGGGATTCTTTTGGCATGTTGTCTTTCCACCATTCGTTCACCATATCCATAGCGTGCTCAAGTCCTTCCCGTGGTTCCCAACTCTTTTCGCTTGTCGGATATCCTTTCCATTTGACTAGGAACTGATCATTTCCATGCCAAAGGCGGTGGTCTCGGATTTCTTCAACTTCCCATTCATCCTTCTTATCGATGATGATAGGTACAGGCCGAGAGTGGGTCCTTCCAGGAAACTTGGAGTCGTCATTTGGATGGAATCGCTTCACGGCTGAGGCATGGAAGACTGCAGTATTGCGGCGGTACATGCGTCCATCCATCTGGACAGTGTAAATCTCCGTATGCTCATCAAAGGATATGACTTTGAAGGGTCCGCACCATCGGGGTTGTAGTTTCTTGCTGTGTCCGACATTGGTAATGAACATGTTACCATGTACCATGAGCATGTCTCCTGGTGAGATGGGAACATGTTTGTGTCGTCGTTTCTGGGCAGTAGTGGTGCTTCGGAATTGGGCAGCCTTAACAGCTTGGAAGGCATCGTTCCGAATTGCTTGGTGGCGGTTTAGATGGTCATCAGAGGCAGGGACTGAGGAGTTCTTGAATAGAGTTGTAGGTAAGAGAGGATATTGGCGGCCAAAAACAGCCTTGTATGGTGACATCCCCAAGGTATCTGAAAATCCGGCGTTGATATATGCAGCGAGCTCAACAAGGGCTGGTTCCCAATTAGTTTGTCGTTCATTGATCATATTCCTAATTCCGGTCTTAACTTCGCGAATCTTTCTCTCTGCTTGGCCATTCGTCTCATGATGTCCAGGGGCAGCCATGAGGTGGTTTATTCTGAGAGAGGTCAAGGTTTGCTTCCAGAATCTGGCGGTAAAGCGGGGATCAGCATCACTGACAAAAGATAAGGGGTACCCGTGGGGGGTAAACAAGTATCGTTGTAGGTTATTCCAGGTGTCTTTGGAGAAGTCGGTAATCTTGATTGGTATTAACCAGGTGTATCCAGAGAATCGATCCACAGCTACCAGGATGGTGTCATATCCAGCGGACTTGTTGAATGGTCCTGCGAAATCGATGGCATAGGATTCGAATATTTCACTCGGTATCTGGAGTGCCTGAAAGGACTCCGGCTGTTCGCCTTTCAAGGTGTCTGAGCTTTCCCTTCAATAAGTTGAGTTCGCTCCTTATTTGCCTGACAGAGTTTGCACTGCCTGACAAAATCGCGGAAGTCCTTTCGCATTTCAGGCCAATAAACATATTCTGAGGCGTATTGGAGGTTGCGATCCGCACTGTGGTGTCCTTTGTTGTGAATCTCGGATATGACATATTCTCTAATAGTCATTCCATTGAACATGTGGCCCTTTGGTATGTATAGGCAGTGTTCACCATAACGGGTGCTGGTATATACCATTCTGTTTGATATGTTGTAGGGAGCAAGATCTCCATGCCTGGAGCTATCCATGGCTTTGAAGTAAATTGGGTCATGGCGATATCCTGCTATCATTTGGCTTCGGAAAGAGGAGGTTAATTCTTCCGTGATTGATCTAACATCTCGTTCATCCTCAATTAGGGATCCTCTTGTTGGTTCGATAGGGGCTTCCTCTTCCTCAAAGGTTTCGTAGAGTTGACGCCGATGCTCGGGAATAGTAGGGGGTATGACCAAGACAATGGTTTCATTGTTGTATATTCGTAAGGGTCCACTATAAAGTGGTCGTGAATCGGTTATGGGAGGAGAGGATGGCGGGGCTGACTGTGGGGGGTGTAAATAGGATATTGCTTCCACATAGGCTGCTGCTTGTTCGAGTTCTTCAAGACCTTGGTATCGTGTTGGAACAGGATTAAGGGTATGAGGAGGTTGGGTTGATTCATCTTCATTGATCATCCCTTCTGCTCCTTCTATGGTGTCGAAACTGGTGTCTTTGGAATCGTCAGTAGGCATATAGTACGATCGCTGGTATCTGTTGCCGAACTTGATCTCAGTCTGGTGAAAAGGGCAGGTGTCATGATAACTGTGAGACCAGTGGAGTCTGCTTTGTTCAAGTTGGTGAGGAGGTGTGCTGCGGAGCGAGCAATTGTCTTTCCATTCTTCATTAATGTCCTTTCCTCGTTCTGTTCCGGCAGCACTGTACATGGTGTAAGAAAAAGGATTGGAGGGAGTGGCAGAGCTGGCGGTAGCCATTGATGGTTCTTGTTCATAAGCGGTGTCGTCAGGGCTGTCCTCGCCTTGTCTTGTATGGTCGTGAACAAGGGGAGGGTTTGCGAAGTCTTGATTCTCATATAGGCGGGAGAGAGCATCAGCTAAATAGTTCGTTCTTCCAGGGGTATAGATGATTTTTGCATCGTATTTGCTGATCTCACCTATCCATCTTGTTCTTCTTCTTCCCGGTATTTTTTCTGTTTTAAGATTAGTGAGGGGTTGGTGGTCGGTAACAATAGTGAAGGTATTGCCCATAAGGATGTGATTGAAAGCGGTGAGAGCATCAATCACAGCAAGGGCTTCCTTGTCTGTTGTTCCATAGTTCATCTGTGAGTTATTGAACTTCCTGCTGTGTAATGCCGCCGGCCTTGCCATTTCATGGGAGGCCCCTTGTCCAACCCATGCTCCAACTCCAACATCCGATGCATCAGTAATCAACCATATCGGTTCTGGTTTACTATAGTCGATAGGTTGAATAACATTGGCGTTTTTAATCAAATCCTTGATTTTGGTAAAGGCTTGGTCATGAGTGAGGGTCGAGGCAAATTCTGCATTGCCGGTAAGGTCTGTGAGCGGTGCTGTCACAGTGGCGTGGTGTGGGCGGAACTGGGAAATGTAGTTGACTAGTCCTAGGAATCGCATGAGTTCCTTTTGATTCTGGGGTGTTGACCGTTCCGTTAAACAGGCTATTTTTCCTGGGGCTGCATGTATTCCTTCATCATCTATAACATGTCCTAGGATATCGAGTTTATCGGCAAACAGGATTGATTTGTTTCTGCTAGCGTAAAATTTAGCTTCCCTAAGTTTGGTACAAACCAAACCTATATGGTAGGCGTGTTCTGTTACAGTGTTCGAGAAGATGAGAATATCATCAATGTAGACCCAAACAAAATGGTGGAGGTATTCACTTAGCAGGTTTTCCATAATTCGCATAAAGGTGGCGGGCGCATTCATATCACCTTGTCACATAACTCGGCTAATGAAACTTCCGAAGGGTGTTTTGAAACTGTTGTAGTATTCGCTTTCTGGGTCTAACCTTGTTTGGAAGTAGGCATCACTTAGGTCAATCTTACTTGGGAATCTAGCCTGTTCAACTGCATTTAGGATCTGGGTTTGGTTTGGGATAGCGGAGCTGTCCATAACCGTGTTTTCATTCCGTAGTTTGAGATCAACCAAGGGGCGGATTCTTTTCCCATCTGCTTTGGGTTGAACAAACATAGGAGCGGAACCAGGGGCTTCTGCCCGGTAGATGACTCCTCTTCTTTGTTGTTGGTTGATCCAATCACAAAGTGGGCTTTTGTAAGCGTCAGGAATAGAGTAGGTGGGTTGGTTCTTGAGGTTAGAGGGGTCTCGGAGGTGGATGTGGTGATTCACCTCTCTCATAGATGGTAGTTCTTCGGGTATTTGATCAGGGAAAACATCAGAATACTCATCCAATAGTCGTATGGCAGTTGTTTCACAGACTGCGGCTCGGTATTCTCCGCTTGTTGGCTTGCATGAGACTCTGACCTTCTGATCTGGGAAATCGATAGTTGATTCCCCACACCTGATTATAGCTTTGTGGCGATTCAGGAATGGCATGCCTATTAGGGCATTGTATTTGGCTAGATTTCCAACCAGCATTTCCTGGGGGGGTAGGATTGCAGAACCAAGTCGAATGGTCGTACTACAGGTTTTCTGGCTTGTGGATCGTGATCCTTTTGCCGCCATATTGACTGGTATGGGTTGGTTAAGGTCTCGGGTAGGGAGTCCATGGACAGAGACAAAGGTATTACTGATCATATCTCTTCCGATTGCACCAGTGTCGAATAGGACTCGAGCCCTTTTGCCATTGATCAGGATAGTGCCTTCTAGAGCAGTGTGTTTTTTGAATGTAGCTGGAGGTCGAACACTGTTGCATTCCACATTGATGTATCTAATGTGGATCTCTTCATATTCACTGGATGGAGCGTAATCGCTTTCAATATTGTTGGCCGACGCCTCTTTTTTTATAGTCTTTCCTTTTCCTTTCTTCGTAGGACAGTTCTTTGCCATGTGCCCTGTTTTTCCACATTCAAAGTATTCTCCCTTTTGCCATCTCGATTCTTTGGAGAATTTTGTTTTCTTCTTGAAAACCCGTGAGGTATCATCTTCAGAGATGCTGGAGGCTTTGTGTCGTGGCTGGCTGTTCCTATTAGAGGATGTCTGTGCTTTGTAGGCCTTGGTCTCATGGAGAATGGCGTCCTTTCGTTCTGCTCTAGCAATTATTATTGCAATATCATCGCCGTCTTCCTCGAGTGGTTCTACTTCTCGCCGGAGGGTAGGGTGCATAGTGTCGTAGAATCGTCGCTTCAGGATGTATTTGGAGATACTTCCTCTCTCCATTCGGTCCTTATACATTATTAGGTTCATAGCCACATCGGTGATTCGCTTGACATGTGTTCCGTTAACTTGCTGGAGCTGGTTGAATTTGTTGTATAAGAGGTCGTTGGTTATAGAGGATTGGAATCGTCCTTTCAAGTAATCGAGAACTGTAGATCCTCTTAATCTTACATTCCCGCCGAAGTCCTTATAGCATTGGTGGTATGCGTCGGTTGCCTTTCCTTCACAGAATGATCCAATGATAAGTCCGGTTGTAGGGTCTTCCACATCTTTTCCTTGTAAGAGTAGGAAGTGTGAGAGTTCTGTGGCCCATTGTTCAAAGGCTTCAGGTTTGAGGTCTTTCCCTTCGCCTGTGAACTTCGCTGGGAGGTGAAGTTTAAACTTAGGGGGTTCAAATGCTGCGGGTACCTCCTCTTCTTCAGGCCTTGCCCGAGATTTCCCTCCTCCAGAAGGCCCTCCTCCTGTGCTAGCCATATCTGATTCACTACTAGATTCGGGGTCGTTTGGAGGTTCAAAGGAAGGCTTCTTTGCTGGAGTAGAAGGGCATTCTCCTGGAGGTTGTGTATCTTCCGTGTTTGCAGGATCACCGGGCTCTTTAGCAGAGCGCCGGGGTTGTTTCTTCCTTGTAAGGTCTTGCCGTGGGATTTGCTTCCCACTCCTGGTCGTCAAAGACTCTATCTTGGGTTTGAGATGAAGCCGAATGTACTGAAATTCTGCCGCTTCTCTCCGCTAGCGTTCTGAGGTGGATATCGATAGGTTGATCAGGCCTAAATCCGCGGACAGGTTCTTAACCACTTGCTGAGGTTAAAAAAATGTAACGTGTTCGCAAGGTGCTAATCACGTTATCGGTAATAGATACGATAGTTGGCAGGTGGCCTGCTCTTCCAGAGAGGAGGCGAGAGCTGAGAACTAAGGGAGGATTCGAGGGTGTACTGGGGAACAAAGAAGTAACCGTTCAACCAAGTATATTGAAATACTGTCTGTCGAAGTCTGCCTTTTACATCGTAGAAACAGGTGGTCTTTTAAATACACAAATCTGTTCATGTCTAGCATGAACGAAACTAATCAAAGGTATCAATCGATACACTTTGGTAAAACTCTTTAAGTATCAAAGCGATACTTAAAACAAAACATAAAACAAAACCAAGTATCTTACGATACTTAAAACAAACCAAGTATCAAACAATACTTAAAACAAAACATAAAACAAAACCAAGTATCAAACGATACTTAAAACAAACCAAGTATCAAACAATACTTAAAACAAAACATAAAACAAAACCATGTATCAAACGATACTTAAAACAAACCAAGTATCAAACGATACTTAAAACAAAACATAAAACAAAACCATGTATCAAACGATACTTAAAACAAACCAAGTATCAAACGATACTTAAAACAAAACATAAAACAAAACCAAGTATCAAACGATACTTAAAACAAACTAAGTATCAAACGATACTTAAAACAAAACATAAAACAAAACCAAGTATCAAACGATACTTAAAACAAACCAAGTATCAAACGATACTTAAAACAAAACATAAAAGAAAACCAAGTATCAAACGATACTTAAAACAAACCAAGTATCAAACAATACTTAAAACAAAACATAAAACAAAACCAATAACCGAGTACCCGTACCGGTTACATGCCCTCTCAACCTTCTACCAGCGATACCCAGGCAAGCCCGACCCAAGTGACAATCACATTCAACCAAGACAAAGGCAAAGGAAAGGCTCCCGCAACACTGCAACCACATGAGGGCTGGGGCGATAGCCCATGCTAAACCACACCAACCAGCCCCAAATCCTCATTCATGGAGCCAACCAACAAAGAACTGAAGGAAAGGGAAAAACAAGCACAGTATAATGCCATGTCATGGACGGTATGCTACAACGATGGATGTCCCGCACACTATGGGGACTAGGATGGCTCGGGATGGTTCTCGAGAGAATAAAAAACGTATGGTTCGCGCCCAGACTATGTCCTAAAGCACTGGAAAGACTATTTCAACATCACGTACAAGATGCACAGGATGAAGAAAATCACTGAAGAATACTACATGCAGAAGGATGGAACAAAGAAAGAGTTGGATGGAAAGGATACCACGATGTGGCAGAGGGCTAGGGCCTCGAGGATGAGGCCCAGGGAGGGAGGAGCCCAAAATTCATCTAAAGAAATGGAACCAGATACCAGAAGCCTGCAAAGGCAAATCCGAAAACTCCAAGAATAACAGGACAAAGCCAAGGCCACAATTTCGGCACACGATAAAACGATCGTGGAGCTAAGACAGCTGAACAATGCCCAGCGGTACACGATCGAGATGTTAAACCTCACCTTGAAATAGTGAGGGTAAGATGGCAGGAAGCAGACGACAAGCTCAATAGGTTCCAGAGATCCATGCATTCAGCGGGACGGGAACTATTGAATCTTGGGGATACAGCCTGATGGGACTCAGTCTTAGGGAAAGAGGAGCTAATGTCATGAACGTGGCTTGGCACAGAAAAGGTTTTCACGTGACTCATGATTATGAGTCATAGGTATGTTATTGTTTCACACATATGACTCATTTGGGTCATATGATTTATTATATTATGATTTATTTTATTTCGTACATGATCGATTATGAGTCATAGAATGTGTGCCTGGCAAGTATGCCTTGCGAGTGTACCTCGTAGGTATGCCTTGTGTATATGATTTATATTTTGCACATGACCTCACTATGAGGTCATGGGTTTCACGCATATGACTCAGTCTAGTCATATGACTTGTTTATTGTATTATGATTGGTCTATGAGTTTTCACACATGACCTTGCTATGAGGTCATAGGTTTTGAGCATGTGACCACTTTGGTCACATGACTAGTTTGTTATGATTTGGTTTTGCACATGTGACTACTTTGGGTCACATGACTATGGGTGAGAAGGATACTATATAAGGAGGCTGATACAGCCGAAGAGGATAGGTTCTTCATACTTTGTTCTAAGTACTTTTCCTACTTATTACTTTAACAAATATAAAACACCTTTACGATCTTTATCTTTATTGCAACCTTATTGTTACGCCAAGGAAAGTTCTTCATGAAGAAGAGTTAGAGAAAGCTTACAATAGACGTTCCCGATAGAAGACAAAGGTCTTATACTATCAGTAATGTAGGCAGAGGCCTAGTGCTATCGTAAGACGAAGGAAAGAAACAGAAGAAGAAGAGAAGTATCGTTTTCCATCGCCAAGAACTAACTATCAAAGGAGGAATCGTTACAGGAAGTAGAACTGGGCCAAACGTGGGAGATAATTGATGATATTCCTACCCTAGAAATTGTATTAAATAGGGTATGGCATGCAATTCCTGTGGAACCGTTAGAGAACTTGATTCATAGTATGCTGCAATGATTACGGGTGGTCATTGATGCAGAGGGAGCACCTACACCCTATTAGTTTGTATATAGAATAGAAGTTATAAAAGTGCGCCTGACTTTTGCAGCTCATATATTTTTATCACTAGATATCACTTGCCCTTCCAGTTCTGTTTTAGTTCATATATATGTGCCATGCTTATTTAGGAAGCGTGTCCGACTAATGCCTACCCCCGAGTACTGTACACGGGTACAGGGGTATTTCGGGTGCAGTAATACAAGCTCTCAATTCTAATACTATGCCATGTTCGGCAACCCCCCTCCCCCCCCCCGGTCACAATACCCCTATTGCTATGCTTGGTCAGTGAAAAGTAAACTGTGATAAACAACACGTCCCATTCCACTGAAGTTCCACAACTCCAATAAGGTATCCTGCAACACCATGAAGCAAACCGGCACTCATGAGCAAAATCCACAAGGAGTTCGACACCATGAAACAACACGTGATGAGTGCAACAAGGTCATTACTCTCCGTGATCATGCAGGGTGGAATTGGTCGAGAATTGGGCGAGAATTAAACATTGACCGAAGAACCTGCTATCGAGTAAGTGAGATT